AGGTATATCAACGTGGTGAAAAATCTGGTCACTTGTTACTGACTCAGCTAGAGTTATGTCACAGTAGTCAACCGTCTGGTCACTTGTTTCTGACTCAGCTAGAGATATATATCACAGCAGTCAGCCGTCTAGTCACTTGTTACTGACTCAGCTAGAGGTATGCCACAGTGGTGAACTATCTAGTCACTTGTTACCAAATCTGCTAGATGTATGCCACAGTGGTGAACCATCTAGTCACTTGTTGCCGACTCAGCTAAAGTTATTTCACAGTAGTGAAACATCTAGTGACTTTTACTGCCTCAGCTAGAGTATGTGCCACAGTGGTGAACCATCTAGTCACTTGTTACTGACTCAGCTAGATGTATGTCACAGTGGTGATCCATATGATCACTTGTTGCCGACTAAGTCAGAGGTAAATCAAAATGGTAAACCGTCTAGATACTTGTTACTGACTCAGCTAGAGGTATGTCACTGTGGTGAGCTATATGATCACTTGTTACTGACTCAGCTAGAGGTATATCACAGTAGTCAACCGTCTAGTCACTTGTAACTGACTCAGCTAGAGGTAGGTCACAGTGGTAAATCGTCTAGACACTTGTTGCCGACTCCGCTAGAGGTATGTCACAGTGGTGAACCATTTAGTCACTTGTTACTGACTCAGCTAGAGGTACGTCACACTGGTGAACCGTCTGGTCACTTGTTATTGACTCAGCTAGGTATGTCACAGTGATGAACCATTTAGGCATCCTTGACCGAGCTAGAATCTTTTTACAATTAGATATACCACAAAGTCATTTGTTACTGTTGTGACAAGCGGATTGTAGGTTTTTTTCACTTTCCTAGAGATGTGACAACAGGTGAGATAATTTTTTTCTACATAAATAGATATTACCATTCATGATGAACAATAGGTTCTAGACAAGTGTTCTATAGTATCTGTACAACCAGCCTTTACTAGCAGGGACCCTTCGTCTTTTGCTTGCACCCGCGATATGCTCTCATGACTCTGAACACTTATTGGGTCGATCATATTGACTATATAGTGTCCTGTTTCATGTATATATATGACTTGATGGATTTTAATGCTGTACGACCTCCTCCGCGCGAACCACTTAATCAGGCGAAAAACACTCACCTGATATCAGTGAAAACTAGACGACGTTTTTAGTCAACTTTCATGAAAAAATCTACTGTTGAATAAAAATCTGTTACTATCCCCTTTAAAGTAGGTAGGAGTTTCCCTGTCTTATGTTGGGAGCATACAAATTTCCTGCTGCATAGAAAATATTGTCTATTTGTAATTGATTAAGACACACCTACCATGGTTTTTCTTCTATATATCCTGCAGATTCGCATTTAATTTTCATTTTATTAATTTTCTTATCCTCATAGTTATTTATGTAATCCTTACTTAAAACTAGGGGAAATAAGAACAAAAGAAAGATTTACACGGAGACTCTCGAAAAAGAGCGAGGAGAATAAGACCAGGCGTTAAGGATAAATAAGCGTTTTCTGCTTTATCATTTACCTCTTGGATTATGACTTCAATTAAGTCTGGTATATATGTTTCTTGTTATTTTAAGCATAGGTATAATTTTGTTGTTTCACAAACCCCTGTAATCACATACCCTATCTGTGATGGAATCAACTTTATTTGTTTTTGGCATTGTAAATGATCACAGACCTCAAGAGAGGGTGAAAAACTGCAAAATACAGAATAATACAATGTGTCAAAAATTTAGGAGTAAATATAAAATGTGCAGCTTGGAATTTAACATTTTATACTAATCACACTAATCACATCTATTAACTTGGAGTGGTTTCATATACATGCATATAAATATACTATGTAACCTCGTTACCGTAATCGGGGGCAAATAAATTTAGCATCTATGTCAAACTAATCTAAATTGTTAAACTAAATCCACCCTTTGGAATCACAATTTGTTGAAAGAAACGAAATTATGATTAAATTTCCCAAGCATGTTATAAAAAATAAATGAGCAGTGTATGACGGACATACCGAATGGATTTGACCGGAAGATCTGTTTTTAAATCTAGGTATCAATTATCACATTACAGTGTATTACTAATAATTTGAATTAGACTGGAATCAAATATTTGAGTATAAACTGATATCAGATAGGAATAATACAATAAACTTACACGATAGTTGCCTTAAGATGTTTTGATTATCATGAAGCATGCACGGTGCAACTATTTAACGAAAGAGTAGTAAAAAGGGAGATAACTCTTAATACAAACTGAAAGGGAAGGTAGCAAGACAGCACACTATCCCTTATCTCTCAGTCCGGTGTTAAGAGAGATTAAATGTTTGTGTTCTACTTTGTTTTCACCCTTTGTCGGTGACAGAGGCGCGCTGCTTTTTGAAAGTATCCATGCTTGCTCACAAGCAAATCTGTTCGCCTTCATACACTTTTTAAAGGTATTGGCCACTGTCTTTCCTTTATTTTTCTTTCATTTTTCTCCTTTTTTCCTTTTAAACTTTATTATATGAGCATTCCGTTCTTTCTTCATCCTCTTCATTTCTTCCAGTATGTTTGTGCGTTAAGACTTTTCATGTCCCAGTTCCCCTAAATTCGAGTATATCCACGAAATTTCATTACAATATTTACTGAATATCTGTAATTGTACTAAAATGTAACTTGAGCTTGACTATGCCTGGTTGTCCCCTTTTCATCAAACCACGAGAGATGATATTCCCAGTATTGGTGTCAACATCGTGACCGGCGAACGTGTATATCATGCCATAGCTTTTGTTTGTAATTCTCGTTAAAGTATTTTTTGTTCTTATCCATATATGGATATTCATTTATTGCATTTATAGATTATGTGCCGTACTAACCAGTTGTTTACGATATCCACTGTAAACTTTAAAAAGCTGCGCAATGCAGTTTAATTCATTATTTGGCTCTACTGTAACTAATCTGAGTACATTTTTGTAATCGTTTAAAAAATAGGTATTTCTAGATACTATGTCTATAAACGCATTCACAATAAGTGGTAACAAAAATATATAAAAGCAAGTCAAGTCGCCCTGAAGACAAGTCGCCCCAATCCTAAATAAGACAAGTCGTCCCCTCGTAAGACAACTCGCCCCAATATATCAAGACACCTCGCCACCCAAAAATAAAATGTGTTATGCGTCAAATGGCTCTACTTGAGAAAACATTTCCTGGCCTAGGCGACGACTTCTTATAACAACACCTTCTTTCCTGTAAATGTGTATGTATGTGGTATATGAGTACATAATTCTTATAATTGGAATAAATGAAATAGCATTAAACAACAAAATAATTATATTTTTATTCATTATTTTTCTTCTGATGAAGGGGGCGACTTGTCTTGATGTAGGGGGCGACCTGTCTTGAGATAATAGGGGCGACTTGACTTGATACCAAATATATAACTATAAAAAATGATGAAAGCTTTGAAAAAAAACCCACAAAAACACAAAACAAAGCTTAAAAAAGCTTACTTTCACGCTTAAATGAGATATTTTCCTTGAGGTTAGTGGATTTTCAATCAACAAATGACAAATTTAATGCCTCGTGCTAGGGGACTCATTTTACTTTATAAATCTCCCAACAGTTAGCTAGGAGTTGTGTAGATATACAGCACACTGATAGGGAGTAAGCTACAAAATCAAAATTCAGAGGGGATGAACTTCCGTGACTTGACGTAGATTTATGGATAATGAAATTCTGACACGTATCAATTCAATTTAAAAGGACAAAGGTGACGTGTTTCTACCACTCACGACTGCTTCTTTTTAACATAATCGCCGGAGACAATATATACCAGGTATAACTCTCTTATGTTATGTTGATAATGTAAACAAAGTTTTACTGCAGACTTGACATCTTTTACCACCATACTTAGTAATAACAAATCTACCGTAATACTGTTATGGTATGGAGGTGAGTAATGAAATATTACTTGTTGTGGTTGAAGGGGAAGTAACTCAATTTTAAGTACGCGTTCATTCCTTGAGTAGGAACTCTTTTGTTAAGAAGAACAAAAAGGAAGAACAAATAAATCTTTTAAAAAGGTGGCATGTATTGCTTTGCTGATTCCTCACCACAATTTCGCTCTATAATACAACACAACACAACACAATAACATCGTTTACTGAACTATAAAAAGTTAATAGGTAAGATTCAAAGTCATGCTAGACATTATGTACTATATATGTTTCCATAGATGATGCCAAATTGTAACTAATTTGAAATCAATTTTATACTAAGGGACGAAATTAGGATTCTCCACCATGTGCAGTACAGGAAAACATTCAAAAACAAAGCTTCTCAAACTTCTATATTTTTCAAACTTCTTAATTACCAAAAAATACATAATATAAGAAAAAGTAAATTATAATTAAATACAAAAAGGATGCGGAACAAAATATCTGGAATTAACATGGTAAGGAGAATAGCTCTTAAGGTACAATTAAAGTATTTAAATATATATTTAGCAAATAAATCATCTCATATAGTTTGTATATAACACAACTTCAATCCATGTTTACAAGTAGGATAATGTGTATTAGTACTTCATCAGTTAATTAACATGGCTAGTATAAATACGGCCACCTTCCTGGCCAATATTATTCGGTTTCTGAAGGCCTTATTCTCCTTGTATTTTTTTCGAATTAATACTGAATTAAGATTCTGTTGTCATACCAGCATTTTCTTCATTGTTTTGTTTTGGAAAAAATGTATTTCACATGTATGTCTTTTGTACAAACTTTGATACCAGTGGTGATATACTCCGATTCATTAGCGACATACATTACACGTGCTTATTGTAGGAGAGGTATCACAGACACGATGGAGATTTAGATTACACCTACGACAACGCTTACAGAGGATATCAGTCCTCCTGCTACAACACTCCGGACTACAATGGTTATGATAACGCTCTGAAGGATTCTGCCATAAGAACGTGGAATCCTTTGAACCATCTCGACTTTTATAACCATGACAACTTCCACAACACGCTCGGAACCTGGAGATCAAGGTCGGATGAAAATATCAAGGTCTCTAGCAGTGGGTTGTTCCGGGGACACTGCAGAAACAGGCCACTCCTCATCGGTGTTGTCATGGCGATGGTCTGCATACTCATCATCATCGGAGTGGCTATCGGGTTGCTGGTTTCCTCAAGTGATTCATGTGGGTATTCATAAATATACAGAAGTTACGAAAATAATATTCATTCGTAATGAATGTGGTTATTAAAGCTAATGAATTTACGCGTCTTTTGATAACTCATGTTTATTTCACCTTTTTATTTTGTTTTTGTTTACTTTTGTGTTATCTATTTATTAATTTAAGTTTTTTTGTTTTGTATTTTTGGTTTGTTTTTGTTTTCTTTCTCACATAATTATTCACCCACAAATGCATGGAATTCACCCTTAGTGACTATTCACAACTTCCGGACCTATCACTTTACCCTCTTTTTAGAGGCTTATGAATGACTGAGTGACAATTGATGACAGAAAAGGGAAATAATTAATTTACTGCAAGATTAAAGGCTAAGTCCTTCTTTACTTTCTTATTTGAAACCATACAAGTGTTCCACAGCTTCATCTATAACAGACATTTTTTTCTTATAAAATTCATACACTTATGAAGGACAATACCATGTGGGAAAACTTATTATGTTATATAGGGTCAAGGTCAATATCATCGTTGCTATTTTGAGGAAATCACATTCCTCACAATATTGGCCTAATTCCTTGAGTGATTTTGATTAAATTTCACTCGCTCCATTGTAATTTTTCCAGTTCGTCTCTATATTGCCGTGACAATGAAGAAAGTTCTACACAGCGCATGCACACACAGCTTATGGGTTGTGCTAATCACCGTTGAGTAGTAATATATACACTGTAACCAAACCGGCTCGTTTACTAAATAATTGTGTTCCTCTAATGTATTGATTTACTGGTTACACATTATATCTTATTACACAAACGTTTGTAATGGACGGATTCCTATCACATATCGTACCCTTTAAGTGCTGGCATTTTAACAGTATTGTATTACTTTTCCCTCTTTTTACAGCTTCAGCAATGCCTAACACTGCCCAACCTGGTACGTATCAATGAAAGTGAATGTTTTTATGTTAAACTTTAATATTTACTGATATAATGGTTGACGCATAATACTTGTGATAAGTTCTATGGACGGAATAACCCTTTTTTCATAAAGTAATATGAATGAAAAATAATTCTTTGAGCAATATGATGATAACATTTAGTTTAAGCGTCGGAATACGAAATCGGTATTTTTATTTTTACATCTTCCTACTAAGACCTACGTTTTTAGAATTTCCCTGTGAAAATGTTACCGTTATAATATTGACCAATAAATGACACTTTTCAGCGTTGACGAATAAGTATTAACCAATGAGAGTGGTACATTTAAGTATTAACCAATGAGAGTGGTACTGTTCAGTATTGACCAGTATGAGTGATACATTTAAGTAGTGACCAATGAAAGTGGTACTGTATAGTATTGACCAATGAGAGTGGTACATTTGAGTATTGACCAGTGAGAGTTGTATATTTGAGTATTGACCAATGAAAGTGGTACTGTTTAGTATTGACCAATGAGAGTGGTACATTTGAGTATTGACCAGTATGAGGGGTACATTTGAGTATTGACCAGTGAGAGTGGTACATTTGAGTATTGACCAGTGAGAGTGGTACATTTGAGTATTAACCAGTGAGAGTGGTACATTTGAGTATTGACCAGTGAGAGTGGTACATTTGAGTATTGACCAGTGAGAGTGGTATTGTTTAGTATTGACCATTGAGAGTTGTATATTTGAGTATTGACCAGTGAGAGTGGTACATTTGAGTATTGACCAGTGAGAGTTGTATATTTGAGTATTGACCAATGAAAGTGGTACTGTTTAGTATTGACCAATGAGAGTGGTACATTTGAGTATTGACCAGTGAGAGTGGTACATTTGAGTATTGACCAGTGAGAGTGGTACATTTGAGTATTGACCAGTGAGAGTGGTACATTTGAGTATTGACCAGTGAGAGTGGTACATTTGAGTATTGACCAGTGAGAGTGGTACATTTGAGTATTGACCAGTGAGAGTGGTACATTTGAGTATTGACCAGTGAGAGTGGTACATTTGAGTATTGACCAGTGAGAGTGGTACATTTGAGTATTGACCAGTGAGATTGTAAGTGTTTCAGTGACGACCAATATGAGTTGTACTTAATTTAGTATCAATGGATGAGAGTCGTTCTATTTTTAGTATCGGCCATATTTAAGCATTGACCTATGAGAATGTTGCTTTCTATCTGCAACACACAATCCCCAGATTTTCAGACACGGGTGAAATAATAAGTCTTTTTTTGCATACACAAAGAGACTTATCAGTATCGATCGCAAAGTCTGTCAGATATTGGAATAATTTACCATTCACTTACATTCAGTTGCAAGGAGAAATCGATATTTCAATCCTTATTCGCACACAAGAACATTGATATTCTCGAGTTTAACTAAATTTCATTTAACAATTTTCACATTGAAAATGTTGTTTAGGTTAACTTGCTGCATACTTAATGAATCACACTTTGAGGAGATTTAAAGTTTCGAATAATGCTTGTATGATGTAGTAAGTTTGAGATGTAGAGTTAAGCAATATCTCTATGTTGGTAGAGAATAGCAAAGAAGACAATATACTTTTGAAATGTCAACTGCGTTATTCGTTTTATAGCGGAATACATCGGTAGCTTAAGTTTACAAAGACCATGGGATCCAAACTATTTGAACACCAGCAGTCCAATATACCAAGAGTTTCGTCAAAATTTCATCAACATGGTGAGAATATGTCATAGATGTGAATACTTTACAAATATCGAGAAAATTAAGAAAAGAAATCGGCAGACTTTAAAAAAAGAAAGGAAGAGAGGAAAATGGAAAAATAGATATCTCATATCTATAACATAAAAACGTAATAAATAAAATAGAAATTTAAATGTTGAAATTGATAAACAGGATACTGAACGGCAAATATACATGTACCTGTCTTTAATATAAGTAACTATATTAGTTAGATATCAGTTAATCCGGAAAACCTTTTGTTTGTTAAAGAAGTCAAACGTATCAATATTTTGTAAACATTCTGCTGTAGGTAACAATATTTACATTGACAGATGGATGCTAGTTTCGGCAGAAGTAATTTGAACAATAATTATGCTGGCACAACACTGACAGGACTGAGGTAGGTGCTGGCGAGGAGTAGTATTCGATTAGAGTACAAATGACAGATCAGTGAATAACACATTTTAATACAATATAGTAGAGTCAAATAATGAATTAAATTGCATCATACAGCTGTTTCGTCCAACTAGGACTCGTCGAAAAAAAAAAAAAAAAAAACATTAAAAAGAGACCAGGTAGAAATGTCAAAATCTTGATAAGAAGGTGCACTAAGGTCCATAATTCAATAAATATCACAATTTTTCGTGTATCTGATAATTTAAGTACAAATGTATTTTGTAAACAACTGCTCTAATATATTAAAACGTTGCATTAAGGTTATGGCAAACCTTGATGTAAAAGTGTAACACATAAAATGTCGAAACCAACGAGGTTCATACCTGTATACGTCCTAGTGACTTGGTCTATATCCTTCCTAGTAACTAAATCCATGCCTGTATACGTCCTAGTGACGTAGTCTATATCCTTCCTAGTAACTAAATCCATACCTGTATACGTTCTAGTGACGTTGTCTATATCCTTCCTAGTAACTAAATCCATACCTGTATACGTTCTAGTGACGTTGTCTATATCCTTCCTAGTAACTAAATCCATACCTGTATACGTCCTAGTGACGTAGTCTATATCCTTCCTAGTAACTAAATCCATACCTGTATACGTCCTAGTGACTTGGTCTATATCCTTCCTAGTAACTAAATCCATACCTGTATACGTCCTAGTGACTTGGTCTATATCCTTCCTAGTAACTAAATCCATACCTGTATACGTCCTAGTGTCTTGGTCTATATCCTTCCTAGTAACTAAATCCATACGTCCTAGTGTCTTGGTCTATATCCTTCCTAGTAACTAAACCCATACCTGTATACGTCCTAGTGACGTAGTCTATATCCTTCGTAGTAACTAAATCCATACCTGTATACGTCCTAGTGACGTAATCTATATCCTTCCTAGTAACTAAACCCATACCTGTATACGTCCTAATGACTTGGTCTATATCCTTCCTAGTAACTAAATCCGTACCTGTATACGTTCTAGTGACGTTGTCTATATCCTTCCTAGTAACTAAATCCATACCTGTATACGTCCTAGTGACGTAGTCTATATCCTTCCTAGTAACTAAATCCATACCTGTATACGTCCTAGTGACGTTGTCTATATCCTTCCTAGTAACTAAATCCATACCTGTATACGTCCTAGTATATCCTTCCTAGTAACTAAATCCATACCTGTATACGTCTAGTGACTTGTCTATATCCTTCCTAGTAACTAAATCCATGCCTGTATACGTCCTAGTGACGTCGTCTATATCCTTCCTAGTAACTAAATCCATACCTGTATACCCTAGTGACTGATATCCTTCCTAGTATACTTCCTAGTAACTAAATCCATACCTGTATACGTCCTAGTGACTATATCCTTCCTAGTAACTAAATCCATACCTGTATAGGTCCTAGTGACTTGGTCTATATCCTTCCTAGTAACTAAATCCGTACCTGTATACGTTCTAGTGACGTTGTCTATATCCTTCCTAGTAACTAAATCCATACCTGTATACGTCCTAGTGATGTAGTCTATATCCTTCCTAGTAACTAAATCCATACCTGTATACGTAACTAAATCCTACCTGAGTGACTTGTCTATATCCTTCCTAGTAACTAAATCCATACCTGTATACGTCCTAGTGACGTCCTAGTAACTAAATCCATAGTCTATATCCTTCCTAGTAACTAAATCCATACCTGTATACGTCCTAGTGACGTAGTCTATATCCTTCCTAGTAACTAAATCCATACCTGTATAGGTCCTAGTGACTTGGTCTATATCCTTCCTAGTAACTAAATCCGTACCTGTATACGTTCTAGTGACGTTGTCTATATCCTTCCTAGTAACTAAATCCATACCTGTATACGTCCTAGTGACGTAGTCTATATTCTTCCTAGTAACTAAATGCATACGTCCTAGTGACTTGGTCTATATCCTTCCTAGTAACTAAATCCGTACCTGTATACGTCTTAGTGACGTAGTCTATATCCTTCCTAGTAACTAAATCCATACCTGTATACGTCCTAGTGACGTTGTCTATATCCTTCCTAGTAACTAAATCCATACCTGTATACGTCCTAGTGACGTAGTCTATATCCTTCCTAGTAACTAAATCCATACCTGTATCCCTCCTAGTAACTAAATCCATACCTGTATACGTCCTAGTGACGTAGTCTATATCCTTCCTAGTAACTAAATCCATACCTGTATACGTCCTAGTGATGTAGTCTATATCCTTCCTAGTAACTAAATCCATACCTGTATACGTCCTAGTGACTTTGTCTATATCCTTCCTAGTAACTAAATCCATACCTGTATACGTCCTAGTGACTTGGTCTATATCCTTCCTAGTAACTAAATCCATACCTGTATACGTCCTAGTGACTTGGTCCTTCCTAGTAACTAAATCCATACCTGTATACGTCCTAATGACTTGGTCCCTCCTAGTAACTAAATCCATACCAGTATACGTCCTAGTGACTTAGTCTATATCCTTCCTAGTAACTAAATCCATGACCTGTAGTCTATATCCTCCTAGTAACTAAATCCATATATAGGTCTTCCTAGTATATGTAGTGACTTATCCTTCCTAGTAACTAAATCCATACCTGTATATGTAGTGACTTGGTCTATATCCTTCCTAGTAATAAATATATTTTTTCATTGAAAGTGATAACGACGCTGTTCTGAGTGTTATTTGTTCTAATATCTTTGTGATGAATTCTGGTTTAGTGAATGGATTCAGTTCGTAATCTTTTTCTACATTGCATGAACTTAAACCCTGATACTTATCTGAAGTGTCATTACAAATCACCTTTCATACTCTTTCTTTTTGAAAGTTATTCTTCTTTTGTACGGTCTGGTCAAGAAACATCATATCAGTGGATCTGATAATCAGGACCAACCAAATACATGTTTAACCTTCTCCTCGTTTTTGATGACGAAGGCAAGACAGGTTACAAATGTTAGCAACATTATATATTGATATTTTAGTGTCCATTATTGGCTTGTATCATTGTGTATTGCTCCGAAATACTTACAGTCAGTGCATCCGACTAAATACAAAGGAATTTCCGTTTCAGTGAAGGGAGTGTGGTTTGCAGTTTTATTGTTTCATTCACCTCCATCACAGTTGATCAAGCCATCTTGAGTCCTCAGCTGATCACTGAGACTTTGTTATCATCACTGTCAGCTGTGTCCAGTGAGGCGGGACCTACTGATAGTCTACGGCTGTTCATAAATGACATAATCACCTCGACACTGCAGGGCACCTTGCAAGGTAGACTCATTCTTAAACTGTAATTCAAATTATAATTCGAGTGGTTTTTGAACTAATAAATAGGAAACAGTTATAACAACACATTAAAATACATCAAAAAATTATTTAAATTTTTTTCTTTGCTATTTTGGTGTCAATTCACAAAAAGTTGTTACCTAGGTGACCATAAAATATAAGTTTTGAAAACATATATATTATTTTCATGGAATTTGAAAAATTCATAATATCACTGTTTTTGTCGTGTTCATTTTTTGGTGTTGTTTTATTTTGTTTTGTTTCTTGTTCTGTTTATTCGTATTGTTTTATTCTGTCTTTTTTCATTGCAATTTTTTTCTTTTTTCTATCATGTTTTTTACTTGTTTTCATACCTCCTCATCATTATCATTCACGGGTAGGGACATTTGATATTAACCATATCTTTCTGTCCAATAGTCTCACATCCCTTTCCATGAAAAATGAACAAGAAAATACCAACATGTCAACATAATCATAATCCAAACTGAAAATATTTTAATCTAGGGCAAAATGTAAATAATAGTAAAAATACACAGAAATTCCTGAAAAGTACAAGGCGAATAAAATCCAGTCGTCCGGAAGAATAAGTGCCTTCTTAACTGCTGACAGCTAGTGCTAACTCATCAAACAGTTGTTGCGTTAACATGCATGTCTTAGACATATTCTAGTGAAGAAACTGTTTATTTCTTTGTGTGATATGAAGCTTTACGTGTTTGACGCCCGTACGTTTGCATGTTGTTGCCGTTGTTATATACCTTATTCTTATTTTAGAACGTGGTTACAGGGCGGTCGTTGTCAGTGAAGGAGAAAGCGTTTATTCTTCCGGAACACCTGGTCTTCTTCATCTCATACTTTTACAGGAGTCTCCTTGAAAATCTTCATTTTGTTCATATTTAGCCCTAGGTTGATTCAATATGAGTTTGGATTATGATTATGTTGACATGTTGGTATTTTCTTGTTTTTCAATATTCCACGCTAAATACTGAACAGTTTACTTACTTCCTTTGTTATTCACTATTTCTTGACAAGTACGGATGAAACAACGGTTTCAACCACGGAACAGAATTAGGTCAAGTTTCTGATTTACTAGCGGGTTTTCATTATTGAATCCAAAGACATTGGAATGTTTTAAAGTGAAGTTTAACAAATGTGTAAGAATTTTCAAACTTACAACAAATATTTTGAAAAGCTGGTTTAGCTCACTATTATGTTAGATTGATGTTTATTTATTGTTTTTCTCTTTACAGCCGTAACAGTTGTTAGAACAACAACGACTACGACTACCACCCCTACAACTACAACCGAAACTACTACAACTCCAACAACTACAACTACTCCAACGACAACAACTACTACCCCAGAAACTACGACAACTACCACTACAACTACTACCCCAGAACCAACGACAACTACAACTCCAACAACTACTACCCCAGAGCCTACGACAACTACTACCCCAGAAACTACGACAACTACAACTCCAACAACTACAACTATAACAACCACTACCCCAGAACCAACGACAACTACAACTCCAACAACTACTACCCAGGAACCAACGACAACTACAACTCCAACAACTACTACCCCAGAAACTACGACAACTACCAGTACAACAACTACTGCCCCAGAGACTACGACAACTACAACTCCAACAACTACAACTATAACAACTACTACCCCAGAACCAACGACAACTACAACTCCAACAACTACTACCCCAGAAACTACGACAACTACAACTCCAACAACTACTGCCCCAGAGACTACGACAACTACCAGTACAACAACTACTACCCCAGAACTTACAACAACTACAACTCCAACAACTACCACCGCAGAACCTACGACAACTACAACTCCAACAACTACTGCCCCAGAGACTACGACAACTACAACTCCAACAACTACCACCGCAGAACCTACGACAACTACTACCTCAGAACCTACAACAACTACAACTCCAACAACTGCTACCTCAGTTACCAAGACGCCGACAGGTAAGAATTTATACTATCTAATTGCTCTTATTAACTAAATGGTTATTGCAAGTAAAATGATTTTCCATGTGGGACGGGGCGCAATTTGCTTATGGAAGGTGCACTTTTGAAATTATACATGCACACAAGTGATAAGCACCTTTTAATACTTAGAACTAGATACTGCATAGCCAAAGAATGAATTCAACCGTACCATACAGTTATTTCGTCCGTCGAGGACTAGCATAGTGGATCCATAGTGATCGAAAGTAATATCATAAACCAAAGGAGAAGGTGCATTAAACTTGTAAAATAAAGGTGGGGTCAACATTTTGCCCCCACACACATTTCTATTATTTTTTCGCCATATGTAGATACATAAAAATAACCTACAACCGCATAAGTGATTAGGCATTATAACTACTTATAGTCATACTGGACCACCTTGTATAACACCAGGATGAGTGACAAAGATATCCTAACATAATGACGAATTCTTGCTACATGAGATTTTTAAATGAAAATATATTAAGTACATAAAATGTCCATTATTTTGATACCACATATGTTATATTGGCATAAAAAATGTTAGCATATTGATAGCTTTGATTTAAAAAAAACGCACAATTTTCACAAAATAAAGAATATATCAAAGTTTGTCAAGTTCATTTTGTATAGTTGCAATCTCGGTCTAAATTTCATACTTCTTTAAAAACTTTCTACATATATTTGCTGTCTATTGAATAAATTTTAAGTGATTTCAAAACCGGTAAAATATCTTTTAAGCAATTCCAACATGCTTTTTGCATAATTTGCCATAATCATGAAGATTTAATTTTTGTTGTTTTTTTGTGCCAAATACTGCTATATTTTCCAGTTTTGTGTAGTACCAAAGCACATTAAGTATTTTGTATTTGTTTTAAAATTAAATGCAGTAGGTATAACTTAACATAGTGTTTTCTGCACGAGAAATCTATCCTCCAAAGAAAAACTGACAGTTTAATTTTTATTATAAAAACTTTTTTTTTGTTTGTAATTTTTTTATTTTTAAGCATTTTTTACAAGTATTGTTAACAACACATAAGCATACACACTCCACACACAGAAACTTGCATACCTGTATAGGATTGCAACTATTTGTGAATCAATAACTTAAGTATATTGTAGATAATATCCTAGTTTACACAACATTCTTATCCTCATAATTGTCATCAGCATTAGAATATTGCAATTCATCCATAGCTAGATAATGAAGAAAATATGGTTTACCAAAACCAATTACCATTTCTATATACAAAACGAAACACATGCCTTTGTCATCTTTATCACACACACACTTTCCTTCCTTCCACACAGAGAGAGACAGAGAGACAGAGAAAAAGAAAGTGTGTGTGTGTGGGGGGGGGGGGGGTTTTAGGGGGCTAAACATTCATATCACATATATGTATCTTACTCACCAACAATGTATTATCTGTTTCACTTACTTTTTAAAAACCCTCACACACTTTAGAGGAGAATAGCAGAGACAAAAAAGAGACAAGCAACAAGGAACAAGAGAGAGGTCTTTGGACTAGTGGAAGAGAGAAAAATTATTATATGTGTATATTGAAAATCTAAAATACACAATGAAAGGTCATTTTATTCTTTGTAAGGTCTGCTAGTCCTGGAGAAATGCACAGCTGGTTAAGATTTTATCATGAATATTAAGATAGTATTATTAAGTACACATACTATTAAATGGTTCATCAAGTAACAGTTATATATACATGTATGAGTAAAGCTTTGTGATGTAGGCATATGGAACTATGAGTATGACTGAAAGAGAGAGAGGGGGGAAAAATAAAGAAATATATATATAATATATTGACCTAGTAATTATATTGTTATATTGTTATTATAGAGCATCAGAGAGTAAAACCAACTGAGTATTGATATTACAAAGTAAAATGAAACTACATCGTGTCTATATAATGCATGCAGTTATTTCAGCATAATCAAGTTATCCTAGTGCAGATTGTAGACTGTTTACATACATTATGTCTGAAAATACTCATACAACAATAGACACATCATAAATCATAGATTATTAAGGGTTTTCATTTTACAGTGAAGTATATTTACCTGCACAAATTATTATGCAATTTCTATCAAAGACTTCCATTTTCTCCATTCATTTTCAAATCTGACCTTTTTGGAGTCCCCTTGACTATTTGCTATATATTTTTGAACAGAGTAGTATTCTTTGATAGAATTTACAAATGCATTAATGTTTAATCTTTTATGATAGCATCTAGTCTTATAGATATAATTCTTAATAATTATTAGTATTACATTGTCAGTTTTCACTGATGTAAGCATTTGATGTTGTAATAAAAATCCAAAGAGACACGTTTCTTTATTAAAAGCAAAAGGAATAACAAGTGATTCTAGAAGTACTTCAAGACTTTTTAAAAAAAAAAAAAAATGTACTTCTTGACATTCCCACATAATGTGGATTATAGTTCTACATTGCATAAGGGACAGAGTGGACTGGCAACTAAACCTAATCTGTAGATAAAGGAGTTCGTTGTCAGAATATGATGGACTAATCTATATTGAAACCATTGTAGTTTTGTATTTTTAATTACTATAAAAGGAATTTTGTAGATTTCTTCCCATTGCAAATTATTTAATTGGATCTCATCCTCCCATTTCTGTCTACCAGTGGGAATAATATCATTTTTAATCATAAGATTATACAAATCTTTAGACCCTTTTATCTTTTTTATGAAAAAATAAACATTGATAGGTATAAAAGGATATTCAATTGAAACTGCCCTAGTATTTTCAAGATCAACTTGACCTAAATATGTTTTGATAGAAGATAAGATACCACGGTATGTAAGAAAATCTGTGTTTATTTGATATAAGTGGATAAATTCCTCAAAAGTATAGAAAGTGAGAGTATCACTGTCTTTTATTAAGTCATTCACAACAATAACCCCCTTTTTATACCATTCCTTATAAAATATAGTTTTTCCCCCAATAGTTAGGCTCTCATTGTACCATAGTGGAGCTGTTATGATGAACTTTTCCCATACTTGCTTTACACCACCTACACTATTGAATCTTGTCCATGCCAGAAAGATATCCTTCCAGAAATATTTTTACAATTATTTTGACATAGTTTAATATACTCGTTACCACAATTTGAAAGCAAATGTAGGTCAATATATGTATTTAAAATGATTTGCCACTTTCCAGACTTTTGATACAGCCTCCTTAACCAACTTAACTTAAGCGAATCTATAAAGGATCTTACATTTACCATTTTGAGACCCCCTCTGTAATATTCTTGGGTTATGATATCCCTCTTAACTTTTTCAGTACTCCCATTCCACAAGAATTGAAAAAAGCATTTTATTTAACCTATTCAAAAATTGATTGTCTGGATTTGGTAAGGAGATAAATAAATGAGTAAATTGTGGTAACATCAAAGATTTAATTAGCTGAATTCTCCCTAATGGAGTAAGTATTCTTCCACTCCATGTTTTAATTAGTGATTTTAGTTTCATTATTTTCTTATCAAAGTTCAATTTGGGGATCTCATGTAAGTTAACACTAAATTCTATTCCAAGGAGAGTGAACTTATTCTTTCCCCACTGTAAATTTAATTCAGGTAAAAACATATCTTCACTATAAATTTTACTTCCTATCCAGATCACCTGTGTTTTATCTATATTCAATTTTAAAACAGAAATTCTCGCAAATATATTTAATTCTTCAATGGATTCTTTCAAAGATCTTTCTGTACCATCTAATATGAGAGACGTATCATCTGCATATTGAGAAATTAGGATTGGACTATTATTTATCCCTATACCCTGAATCATCTTATTGTTTCTTATCCTTATGGAAAGTATTTCCACACACAAAATAAAAATATATGGGGCGATTGGGTCGCCTTGGCGACAACCTCTTTTAATACTTAGAAAAGATGACAAATTACTTCTTTGGATTGATAGTTGAATGAACATCTGTGTGTAAAACTTTCACCCATTTTCTAGACTAGAACCAAAATTGAAAAAATGTTAAGACTTTAGATATAAATTCCCATGACACTGAATCAAAAGCCTTCTCAAAATCAATCATTAATAACATACCTGGAATATTGT